ACAATGGCTTTCTCTGGCATTTCACTCCTTGCTGAATTCTGCCTGAGCAGTTCAGTTTCACCCAAGTTAACCAGCAAGTACCAGGAAGACAAGCTAATGGCTGCTCTCCTTACTTCCCGTACATATTCTTAAGATGGTATTGTTTTTCCTGTTATAAACATTTTCAAACAGAAAGAAACAGTGCACTGTAAGTGCATCTGCAAAAAACAAAACAAACAAACAAACAAACAAAAAAAGGTAAACTGAGCCCTGAGGTCTGGGGGCTGCTATGGGACAGCAATGTGAAAGCAAATGCCCCACATTTCAGAGATGAGCATTGAGCCTGAAAAATTAGTGTTGTGTGATCCACTAACAGTTTATAATGCTCAGTTCACTTTAAATTCCTGAGATATTGCAGAAGATTGCAAATGGTCAAAACTGTACTTTTTGAATTGTATTTTTCTGATTAGAAACGTAAATATATATGTCAGAGTCAATACACATTTCTAAAAACTTAGTGACATGTATTTCTGCCACAGAAGAAAATAAAACTGTAACTATAACTGATCTGCAACGGCAATACACACTGTGACTTATTTAAGGGGAAAGATACGGATGCTGTATGCTGGGGTGAAATGCATCAGATAGAGTGATGAGCAAGAGGGTAGAGAGTTGGCCATACATGTGACAAAGTATTGTTGTTAGTTATCTATTCTATATGTTATATATACGGATGTTCACTGTGAAATTCACTTTATGTTGGAAACTTTTCATAATAAAATATTGAAGGAAAATATGAAATCATAGAAAACTACAGACATTCAAGAAAAATAAAAGCATCACACAGACACCAAGCACATACATGTTTTGTAAACTGTCTTCCCCATTTCACTTCCAATAAACTCAGCATGTTCCAAATGGCATGTGATGTCACTGCACAGGCAACACTGGGTTGTCTAAAAGTCTTCACCCACGCCCACCTGACACAAATCCCTACTCTCTACACCACTGACTGACTTAGAATAAAGTCAGAAGTACGACTTCTGACTCAGGAAGGAAGCATTTTCAGGACTGCTTTTTAAACCCTCCTCCAGAAGGAGCATATCACAGAACCTGTCTATGAAAAGGCCCGAATCTAAACTTAAACACTCTCACAGATATAACCTGTCACTTTTCATTTCTACTAAGAAACAAAGGCTCTTTAAAAAAAAATCTAAAATAGGCACCTCAATTTCTTCTCCACTCTGATTCCTAAATGCTGAATCCAAGTCAGGGGTGTTGACTAGGACTTCCTGAAGGAATAGCTGCCCCAGCAGTAGCACAGGAGCTAAGAGAAACTAGGGTACCTTTCTGTGTCAGTGAAGAAATCGCCAAAAATCACCAGTGAATGTCAAAAGACATAGAAGCCAGCCTGAAGGAGCTTTTACTTGCCAAGCTGGTCCTAATTTAAACACAAAAGTGCATAACTGGAATGGATTATGGATCGTGTCACTTTGAAGTATAAAATCATCTATAAATAAATAAAGCAACCGTCCAGTATGTAAGGGGAGGACAGGAGGAGGAATAGGGGAGAAACGCTCAGAAGGGGGAACTTCTGCTCTTGGCACAATGATCTATCATGGTGATTTAGTTCTACCTAGAACAGGATCATCTGGGGACACAAAGCTGAGGGAAGATATTTACATAGCCTCAAAGTGGTTCCCAACGGCTCATTACAAAAGACAAACAGGCATTTTCACTGCAGAGGAATTGCGTGAACTCATGACCAAGGGTTCAAAAGTAACACCACCAAAACCAAGACAAGCAATACCCATGACACTGCACTAAAGACCACCAAGGACACACAACCCCTACAACAGTCCCACTACAACCACATAAACCAAATGAAGGGGAAATCGGTAAGTCCAAAACAAGGGGTATTCTGCAGAACAAGTGTTCTCTGCTTTTCAAAACTGACCAAGTCTTAAAAGGCAAAGAAAGGCAGGGAAACTGTTCCCAAATAAAACAGACTAAACAGATACATCAGCTAGACGCCATCTGTCATCCTGGAGTGCAACCTGGGTTGGAAAACCTTCCCATAAAAGTCTCTTGGGACAAATGGCATTTGAAGGTGGACTATACAATAAAGTAATGTGATCACTCAATTTCCTGACCTTGTTCACTGGATTTTTAGGCGATGCTAAAATACTCTGAATGAATGCATATAGCATCTGTAGTTTATTCTCCACAGCCAGCAAAAATAAAATAACTATAATTGCATATAGATCAATAATATAAATAAGAGAAAAGGCAGATGCTGCAAAATGTCATTAAGTGGTAGGTAGACTTAAGTGTTATTATAGAGGCCATGACAGTCTTGTAATTGTTCTTGGTGTTTGCTTTAAATAGTTTTTTAAAAACATTTTAAGTAAGTGCAATTTTTGTTCTTTTCAGTAGAAAGGTAACATGTACTTGCTAAAATAGAGAAAAGTACCATATCCTACTACACTAGAGGCCACAAATGAAATGCAAGCCAATAGCCACATAAGCCAAGTTTAAGAATTTAGCAGGAGCTGGAGAGATGGCTCAGTGGTTAAAAGCACTAGCTGTTCTTCAATTCCCATCACCTACATAGCAGCAAAACACCAATTCACATAAAATAAATAAATAAATTGCTGGGCAGTGGTGGTACAAGTATTTAATCCCCGCACTTGGGAGGCAGAGGCAGGCAGATCTCTATGAGTTTGAGGCCAGTCTACAAAGAGAGTTCCAGGACAGCCAGAGTTGGTCTTGAAAAACCAAAAAAGAAAAAAAAAATGGCTAAGTTCACAAAACATAGATTTGTCAAATGTCAGGTAATTCTCAGAGCTCAATGAAGTGAGTTACAGGTAATTTATTAAGTGGTCTGCTCCTTCTAAGACTCCAGAAAAAAAAAAAAGACCAAGAAGCATAGGATTGAGGATATAAGGGGGGGAGGCAGGTTTTAGAGTTCATCCCCTTTATCTTATCACATAAAAAGTGCCTAGCCAGTAGCCAACACACATCTATAAAACCCAAGTCCACAGGGATGCATACTTCTCTCTAACCGCCAAGCCCCACCAGACTTTCACATCACTCTGTGAATTTAGCAGTGGGGTTTCCTTGCAAGGAGATGAATAATGACCATCTCTGACGATAACAGGCCCCTAAGCGGAAGTGCAGTTTCTGCTTTTTCCTACTCACAAGTTTATGAGTTATACTCTTGCAAGAGAAAAGCAGGATTTGGCAGCTTCCAACTCTTGCTTTCATCCTGTGCTTTCCTGTGTCATTTTCTTGGCCTCTCACACCGTAAAAATGGGACAATGTATGCACATATGCTGGAGAAGTAGAAGGTGAATGGGCTACAACTAATGCTTCCTTTCAAAACCCGCTACCTGTCTCATCCAATAGCCATATAAGAAGCTCATTGGTATCAAAGTCCCACAACCTACCACTTAACATCCTTACGTAAATGAATAGGACTGGCTTGTTTTCTATTCTTACCTGATCAACTAGAAGTCTCAGACTAAAATCCTGAAGAACAGGAAGCCTGGCCTTTTGAACTCTACCTGCTCCTTCTGGAGTGGCTATTAGATTTCTCAATGCTCTACTCCCCAATCTATAAAATGGGGACAATAATACAAACTTAGTAGCTCAAAGAGTCCAGTATCAGAAATGGTTCTAATGCAAGAACTGATCTTTACTTATCACCCTTCTGCTTCACTGTAAAACCTACAGACAGTCTGTGACAGAGACACCTCAGTGCCACTGTCCTGGTTTCAACAATGTGAGAGCTGGCTGAGCTCCAGCTGCAGAATACTGCTGGGGGAAGGGGGACATGCCTGCAAAAGTTAACACTGGATTCACATCTCTAATCAGTCATGATGGCTCACCGGTGGCAGTCAAGGATAACAGTAAGATCTCTTTGGGGGAAGAAAGCATATTTGCGGGAAAGGAACAATACTTAGTGAAAACGGAACATACACACAAAAGTAATGGCCAAAATTAGCATCAAAGGGTAAGTTTTAAAAGCTACCAGCAGGACAACTACAGATAATGGTAATATACTGCATATTTCAAACAGCCAAAAAAAAACACATTTGAATGTTTACACCATAAAATGTTTACACCAAGGCAATGGGTATAATGGCTTAATCATACAATGCATACATGTACTGAAACATTAACAGCTCATTGATGTTCATTGTTTTTGTGGGTTCCTAGGGTCAGTTAAAAGGATATTTAAATTTCTAAAAAGTACTTTAAAGAGAAAGTTACCAAGCTTAACGCCTATGAATCAGCTATACAAATTATTTAATTCTTTAAGTACCAAACTGAATGTAATGATGGTGGTGGTGGTGGTGGTGTGTGTGTCTTTGCATGTGTCACATTCCTAAGAAAGATGAAAACTCTAAGAGTTCGGGGATCATCTACACCCAACACGAGTTCCAGACTCTAAAAGACAAGACCTTATTCTGATTTTTACAAGGAAAGGCAACACCACCACCACCTAATTCCTTATTTCACAAAACACTTCACTGTGAGTACAGGTGAAACCTAAGAAGCTTGTATTGCTTAATTCAGTATAAAAATAATACTCTTATTTTTTTTTTAAGGCAGCAACTAGGGACCACCCCCAACGCAAGGGGTGGAAATAGTAAGCAATGAAAATGTTACCTGTTACTCTATACTGCCCCCTTTCGGCTGCCCTGGAGAAGTGAACCGCTCAAACCCTCCTGGTTCTGTAGGACAGCCAGCACAGAGAACACGGGCTCTTTTATACCATGGAAAGAAATCCTCTAGCTTCAGATGACCCCTAGTAGAACTCGACCCTAAAGCACACACTGCAATATTTTCTATTTATGGGGTTCCCAGAATGGAAATTGGGAAAGAGCCTCATGGACCAGTCCCAAAGGACCGGCCAGATCGCTTCCAGCTCTGTGTCCCTCTAACTCCAGGCTGAAGAAAGGCTTATTATATAAGAGCTGCTGTGTCCGCCTCTGGTAGCAGAAGATCTTACTTACCTCTTTCTCTATTTTGAGTAGCTTCTTTACAGCCACCTCCTTGTCCTGTGATATCCATTTGGCTCGATAAACACTCCCAAAACTTCCTCCGCCGCAGTTTTCAAAAAACTGCAAGTCGTCAAACTTAATTTGCACAAAGGAGGTACCAAGAGACGACATCTCATAATGACAAAGTAGTAAACGTCCACAAAATCTGAAGAGAGAAAGAAGAGAAATGCTGAATCACAAATAAGTTAAAGTCCTGCTGTAGAGATTCATAACAAGACTTGGGAAACTTCCAGAAAGACTGCGATGACTTCAGAAAGAAGAAGAGCAAGACAAACACATCGGAATGAAAATGCTTACCCTGGCAGCCTGCGCAAAATTCAATAGCAGCTTGTCCAGGCTGGGAATGGCTCAGATTTCCCCCTAACAAAACCTGTCACAGCGCTTCCTACACATCTTGAGGAGCTCTGCCTAAAGGCTACTGTGTCACCAGGTCTCCTACCAGGAAGGCTTGACACACAGAAACCATGCTTTCAACAGTAAGCTTGCATAGCTCTTCTGGCATGCTCGGCATGCCATCCCTCCATGTTGCCCTTGCTTCACAGGAAACGGACAGCCTAAGCCTCTGAGCACCCTAGCAGCCGCACAGCCAAAACGCTGCGGAGTAAACATACATCCAGTGTTTAGACTCCAAACAAGATTTCACTTAGGAGTGAAAGAAAAGCTGGCCGAGCACTGCCAAACGTGGCTCACTAGGCTGTACACCACAGCAGAACTGATTTTCTAAGAGACGTTGTCTCTGATTACAATATATTAAGTCACCCAAAGAATACTGCCAGAGAAGTTTAAAAAATATTATGCTTGTCTCCAGAGGAACGGATGACCCCTCCCAGATACTGAGGCAGTGAGATCCTCTGTGATTGAAGGGTTCATACTCTGTCCCAGGTATGTGTCCATTCCTAATTCCCTATGCCAAACCATAAATTATCAGGAAAAACAAAACCCAAAATACACAAAAGATGGAGTAACCTTCTGAGCAAGTGTAAAAAGCTACAAGCGGTGATAAAAGAACCTGCATATACATCCCTTCTGTAACTAACCAGAATATTATAACCATGGAGCCAAAAGGTGAACCCTGTATTCGAGGATACTCTATAAAACAATAGGCTTATACTCTTAACGGTTGCCATCATGAAAGACTTAACAAACAGAAAGGGAACCATCTATACAAGAATGTAACAACAATCCCCCAACGGAGGCCTCACTCTCCCTGGGGAATGGATGGGGGCGGGATGGGAGTTGGGGGGGGAATAGGAGGACAGGAGGGAGAGGGAACTGAGATTGATATGTAAAATAAGATTGTTTTTAATTTAAATAAAAATTAATTTAAAAACTTTTAAAAAGAACGTAACAAAATCTGTGATGAAGTGTTATGTGTGGTCACTCTGCATTTATTCCCTATAAACATCTAGGTATACTGAAATATGATGCCTGCAACTTACTTTAGGATGAGTCTGACACCAGCCCCAAAAGCACACAAGGGAAGGGGACACAGTGTGTAAGAGGGAACAAGAAATGTGACAGAATTAAGAGCTACAAATCAGAAAGATGGTGAGCATTTGACCACCCTGGCAATTTTCTAGAAAGTCTGGATATTTTTTTCCTTCCAAAATAAAAGGTAGAAGGAAGCAGTCTGCACCACTATAAATTCAGTTTCTGCATTTACAAATGTGGGGCTTTGCTGAGAGACGCACACAGGCAGCTCAGAGCTTTCAGAGTACAGCTGGCTTAGCCATCCCATTTTAGGAGCATCAGCTCAGTGAAGAATGTTGATTTCTTACGGGAAGTCCAAGTCTGCGCCACATTGGGGAGAAGGCAGGAAAGAAAAGCTAAGCGATTTGTTTATCCTCTAATGTTTAGAGCCTTCTAATGTTTAGGAGACTGAGTCAACACAAAAACACAGGGAGTAGCACAGACACTGTCTATTGCTACGTTCAATTCAGCGATTTTCCATGCAGACTCACTACAGTTCATAGTTAAGTGCAAGAGAGAAGGTGTATAGAAAACATAGGAGAATGTGCCAGACCAGCGCAGATAGTGTGTGCAAAGCAAAAAGCTCTTACAATAAATGTCAAATGCTATATGCTAGATCTCCACAGGACTGCAGAGGACAGGTCTCTGTTTTTATAGTTAATTTTATCCAGTATAAGAATTTAAATTGGGCTGCAAGGCTTGTAAGACAATGCTAACCCACAGCCTCCCTGTTTCCCCACTCAACTCTCACTGCTGAGAAAGCGACTCCTATCGGCTCCTGTGAGCATTCTCTTATTTACCACATTTCTAAGTGATGCATTTAAACACTGTGCCTTCTTAACTTTTCCCATTTCAGATCTTGCTAACAGTTCTCTGTGAGGGATTCAGTTCTCACACACCATCCTCAACCTCATATGTTCAAGTGTTCATATGTTCTACCCCTCTGTTTACAACCTCAACATTTGGCTAAGTCAATATTCATGGTTTATAGTAGTCTTGAAAAGTCAATATTATTCCCAGCACCGCCATGCAGCAATTGTATTTTACTTGGATAACTGTGTTTCTTCTGGAGTTATTCGTTGCCCTGTTTTTGTCTTCTATTGTTTGTTTAGCTTTTCATACTACTGATAAACTTATCCAACTCATCAAATTCTCCCAGGAACTGTAAAATGCCCAACAAAGTAACCCCCCCACCCGCCACACACACACATAAAACCCAGGAGGTTCTTCCTTCATTCTCTGTTATCCTGGAAGAAGGAAGATGCTGGTTCTCATGGAGACATTCTTTCTAAACACTTCATCTTGATTCAGTCTAGCTGGAATGGCTGCTTCCCAGGCCAGACTGTAACTGGGATTTCATCTCCTGTGCCATTCAAAGGCCTTCCTTCTCTGAGGGAAAACCCTGCCCCAGGATTTTCAGTTTCTCTTTCTTGGTTTACTTCTGCATCATGACTACACACATCTCACACTGGCTCTCTGAGGGCACAGGATTGTGGTTTTTGAGTGTCCGCTGGCAGCCTGTCTGCTGTTCTAGGAAGGATAGTATCCTTTATGTAATTGTGAAAGTATTATTTCATTTTCTTCTCATTTTTGAAATTTTATGAGTGTGAAAGTTTTGCCTGCATGTGTGTCTGGGCTGCAAAGGAGCTGACGGGGTCATCAGATCTCCCAGAAAATGGTGTCATAGGTGGTTGTGAGCCACCAAGTGGTGCCGGAAACTGAACCTGGGTCCTCTTCAAGAGCAGCAAGTACTCTTAACCAATGAGCCATCTCTCCAGCCCTCTCATCTGATTTCTTTTTTCCCCCAAATATTCATGTTTGTATTGTATATGTGAGTGCTTGGCATGCATGTATGTATGTGCACCATGTGCATGCCTGATGCCTGCAGTGTTCAGAGAAAAAAGCATCAGATCTTCTGGAATTAGTTACAGATAGTTGTTAGCTCCCATGAGGGTGCTGGGAATTGAACCCACATCCCCACAACAAATGCTCTTAAGCACTGAGCCCCTCTTCTCCTTTTGAAGGCAGCTATGGAACAGGCCGATGCTACTGCGATTTCTAGCCCTTTTCACATTTGTTTCTAAAAGTTTTTAGGATCATTTTTTATCTGTAGAATTCTGCCTTTTATTAGGCTATCCTTGGAGATGATTTTTTTTTCCACTCACTGGTAGGACACTCAGTTCCAATCTTTAACTTGTGTCTTTGAATCTCAATTGTCTCTTTACCACTTGAGTCACTTTTATTTCATGTCTTCTTTGTCATACATGCATGAAGCACTGCTTGCAGCCCCCCTTATGTGCTGACCTCTGTCACATTTCCATGCTGAGTGCAGGCAACATATCTGCTTCAAATACCCTTCTCTACCTAGCAAACCTGTCCCTAACCATGTCTTTGAAGCCCATATGAAAAAATGCTTCTTTTTATCTGTTCATCTTTCCCATCAAATTTCCACCAGAACACAAACCTCATTCCATCCATACATGAAAACTCATTTCTATCTATACCTGCATTTTCAGCGCCTCACTTAAAACCAAACACACAGTGTGCACTTCTCCTATTCTAAACTATCTGTTGAATTAATGGCTTTTGGTTCATTTTCGCACTTATAATTCCCAGAGCTGCACAGATTTCAATCAAACTAAGGAAATGCAGACCTTCCATTTTCACAGTGCCCACAGAGGAATCTAAATCTAATCCTGTTTGAAGAGCTGCCACCACCGGTTTCTCGGGGAAGCTGGGCTGCCAGTCCTGGGTGCCTCTCCGTTTGGAATGAGTTAGAGGAGGGGTGGAGAAACCCTTTCCAAAACAAAGGATGAGATCAATAAGGACTAACTTGAACCCAGTGGTCAGGACCCTTGGCTATGATCGCCTCCCCTGATGAGAAGCAACACTGCACATTCTTCCACATCAGTTACTCATGCTGTAATACACCCTGCTGTTTAGGTATTGGCTCTATATAAATGAACTATGCAATTACTTGGATGTTTTATTGAGATTGTAAAAAATTAAGTCCCTTCTGATTTTTGAAGAGATTAACAATTTTTTGAGTGGCTTAGTTCAGGTTTTAACTCCAGTGATCTCAGCAAGGCATTATACCCTTCAGTTGAAAATTTTGGTTTAGCTTTCTATACCCATATACATACATACATACATACATACATACATACATACATACATACATACATACACACATACATACATACATACACACATATGTGTGTGTGCATATGTAAGTGCACATGCATGCATGTGTGCATGCACATGTATGCATATATGTCAGGCTACATATGTATACTGCTTCCCCTTTCATTTTAAGTCACTCTTCAGAGAAGATCAATTTATGAGGAGAAGAATGAAATATGAGTTGCTGTTAAACAAACCCAGAGTATGTTAGGGAAGATGCTGATCAAATTATAGCATCAAGACCTGATCAAATTATGCTCTAGTTTTTCAGAAATATCTCTACTGTCTAGACCAGTGGAGCCATCTATTAGACAGGGAAGCCATCTATACCCATTTACTTACAAAGGCTACCAGATCACACACAATGTTTTCAACCCACGATGTCTGAAGATTGGCTGTAACATAATACAGGCAATCATACACAACACTGCAAGTGGACTCGGAATAGGAATATCACT